TAAAATCCTCTTGTGGCAGCAACATAATATTACAATAGTATTTATGTTTATGTAAAAGTAAGTGCAATTTGTAAGCACATCAACAAAATTATTTACACTCGTCGCTCTTTTGAGATTAAAAAACGTCTCGGCAACTTGAGGTGAGTAAATCGAAAATTTGTAAAGTTCTACATAAGGATGGTAGAAATCCGTACCATTTACAAGCTGTGTAAAAATTTACTTCCGGGAGAAGCAGAGAGACGCCTGAATTTTTGTCAGTGATTGTTAAAGTCACAACATAATCCAGAATTCTTACTACAAATACTTTGGATCGATGAAGCTACGTTCACAAGGTGAGAGGTAGTGAATTTTCACAATATTTGGTCACAAGAAAATCCTCATGAAATTCGGACAAAGATTTTTTCAAGACGAATTTTCTGTGAAAGTGTGGCTCGGTATAATTCGCAATAAAGTTTGTGGACCTTTCTTCTTGCTACCCCATCTAAATTCCCCATCATTTCTAAACTCTCTAGAAAACCATTGAATTATTAGAAGATGTTCCATTAAATATACCACAAAATAAATGGATGCAAATGGATGGTGCTCCTGCGCATTTTAGGAGAATAATGCAAGAATGACTTAATTAAAATTATATGGGACGATGGATAGGTAGAAGACTAAATGCCAATGTCAACTATAATGGTGCAGAGGGTCTAGTGTCTTGGCCAGCCAGATCGCTAGATCTAAACCCCCTGGACTTCTATGTTTGGGGTTACCTATCTGAAAAGTAAAGTTTACTCTACTCCAATAGACACAAGACCACAACTACTGCAGAGAATAGCAGACGGGTGTAGTGAATTAAAAGAAAACTACCACATGATGTTAGCTTCAATTAGTTCCATTAATAGAAGATGTCAAAAATGTATCGATGTGGATGGTTCGCATTTTGAACAATTGTTGTAAATACGTAACCTTAATTTTCGTTTCTTGTTTAGTTGTTGTTGCTTGGTAAATGTATTTTTATTACTATTATTTTGATTTAAATTGTTCTTGTTTATAAAAATAGTGTTTTAGGCCTCCAGAGGAAACTAAAATACTCTAGAAACACTATCTCACAGGTGATGTGGAAATAATGTTGTTGATCTGCTTACAAATTGCACTTACTTTTAAGCATAAACATACATGATCCTGTAATATTATGGTTTGAAGTGTCTGCCACAAGGGGTTTTTATTGGTATGAATAACTTGAGAACGGCGAATCTTAGGAAAAAAATTCAATTTACCTTTTTTACGTATTTAGTGCATTAGAATATAAATCCGTTACAATAACTTGTAAAAAATACAGTGGTGTAGGTTTTTTTTTATAAAAATACGGCGACCCCTGTCCAGTTGTACACCACTGGTTGAATCATTAGAGCTCATATTTTAGGGAATGCAAGACCTACTGTCATACATTATCTGTACCAAATTTTATTGAGATCGGTTAATCGATTCTTGAGATATAAACAAAAATTCAATTTATTTTAACAACTTCAACACCCTGTATCTCTTAAACGAGGCCGTTCCAGACCTATGTTTGTAAGGCAAACTCCTATTATTTTCAAGAGGTCTATCTGTCCTCGAAGTTTCCTGCATAAAATTCGGACCACCCTGTATTTTTATTCGAGGACGAATTTCAGCAAACATTTTGTGGAAACGAATTATTCATAGGTAAATAATATCTAATGAACCCATTCGTTGAGATCTGTATTGATACGTACATATATATTTCCATATTTCATATTGATACCACTGGTGTTGTTATTTGTATCACTGTCAAGATATTGTGTGGAGCTACCAATATGATCGAGACGAATATGGAGCTTATTGCTTTTATATTATAGCGTGTAAGGCCAAAATTTTAATTTCCTCGATGTAGTGCTAGAACGTCTCAGTTATGATTGAAGATAGAAAGATATTTTTTACTTTTTTGAGAGAAATGGATTTTTGATAATTTTTAGTTTTAAAGTAAAAATTCTAGTTGCTACAGTTGAAATTTTTTTTGAAATATTGATACTTTATCTTACAAATTTTCTTACGTAGAATCCAGCGATACTTTTATCTTTTTAGTCGAAAATAGTTAGAGTTATTTAAGCTACTGCATTCTATGTAAAAAATATGGCAGACGGTACCTCCAGAATTATACTTCCAAAATTTAAATACCTCTTCGACAACGAACAAACTTTAATGAAACAATAATTATTAGCTTTTATTATTAGACTATTTTAGACCTGTTCTAGAAATTTTTCGTCTTTCAAAACGCATCTTGAAGCAAATCGAAGATAATTTGGAATATTCTAGAAAATGTCAAAATAAAGATAGAAGAAGAAAGCACTGACGAAAACAATCGAAACATTAACGAGTGATATCAAATTTGTTTTGAAACTGAACATTTTAGGAATTAACCTTGATACAAAAAAAATGCCGGAACTTGCGAAAATAATGAAAGCATTTAGAAACACCAACGAATGACAAAAAGTCTTTAGATCTAAAACACTTTAGGGCTGCCCCTGAAATAAACAAGTTAAATATTGCTGACACTAAAGAAAAAATTACCAAATTCTAGTTAGGGAAGTTCTAACGAAAAAATTGTATGTTGCACCAACAAATAAATGACCTTCCAACGAATAAAAATCCGTTATTTCTAACTTAAGAAGCACTAACGAAACACTAAAGGTATTGAATTTTTTATGAAAAAAATTAATACTTTGAAGGGTAAGTTCACGAAGCGACTCCTCATCTGCATACCATGGAGGAAGTTTCCAATAACCATCGATAACGGTTACAACTCGCTACGCCAAAGATGAAGAAGCTTAAATAGGCCATTCAATTCAAACAAATTCAAATAAAATCATTAAATAATTTTTTAGAATTCAGCCTTCTGTTTGCCGTACTCGCATTCTACGGCGCAGCATTACCATCGCAAAAGCCATAAACAAATCATCATATCATAATTGTTTTACATCAATAATGTGTATTACTGATTACGTATTAAATTATTATTATTTTTTTTTGTTTAAATTACTATGAAATTGACCAAAGTGGGATTAATTCAAGAGCGATTTTCTCAGAAACCGTTAAAGATAACGATTTGAAACAAGTGTACCTTTTTAACGTAAAACAGTTCGGGAAAACGGAATTTGCTGTCCAATTTGTTAAAAAGTCAAAGATGAAAAAGTTACACACGCAAAGTACCAAGGGCCCCCCCGTACCCACCCCAATGGACCTTGTGGAAATAAATGGATTAGTCCATCAAATTGCTCATCAAAATTTAGCTGTGTATACCAAATTTCATTCATTTATCACAACGCGATTGAGAGATATTGCAAAAAAATGATTTCCATTCCTCCCTCTTCAATGGGTCCCTGTGCCCTTAGGAAGCATTTCCGGACCCATGTTCATATGAACTTTTTTACTTAGTTTTGATCATAGAATCGGCCTGTTCAGGGTTGGCAGCTAATTATGAGACACCCTGTATAGAATGTATGTATGAAATTTAAAATTTGATTTTAGTTTTGAATTTCCCGTTTGAATACGTTGAGATTTTGTTACATACATTTTCTGTTCTTATTTTTTAATTTACCGCCAATTTTGCCTAATCGGACGCTTACACATGACCTCAATCGAAGGCAATACCAGATGAGAATGATGCTATCTGTTTGGAGTTCATTGACCTCACAGACTAATGTCCACACTCGTCCACATTTCCTGTCCTATTTGTTCACAGTTGTCCACATCTGTTGTTCTCATTATCCACAGTTGTTCACATCTGTTGTCCACATTCTCCGCAATTGTCCACATACGTTGTCCACATTTTTGTGAACCAAAGGAAAACAATATTAAAGAGGTTACAAAATTGGAGGCGTTACAGGTATCTTTTTGGCATATGAATCACTCGACCACTTCGCGAAATTCTTTCGGGTGCTCTGCTCTTTACACATTCCCGCACTTTCATGATCACAAGATTCCTCTTCTTGCTGATAATGGGGGACGTCTTCTACTTCTGTATCCGGATGATCTTGCAGGGATGAATCTTCCTCTGCCGTAGTGACAACCAGACATTCCAGAGGGTAGATTCGTTGTATAGGACGTAAAAGTTGCCCTCGCTCTGTCTTTACCCTGACGAGTCGAATTTTTCCATCAGTGCCAGGAATGATCTCGATTATTCGTCCAAGAGGCCAGTGTAAACGTTTATCGATGTCGTTGGCTACAAGGACTACTTCTCCAAATGTAATTGGTCGACTTGGCCTTTTATTAAATTTGAGTTTTAGTTGACCAAGATATTGGCTTCGAAAGCGATGACGGAGATCCAAACTAATTTTTTGTCGATAACGTAGCTTTCGATTGAGTGAATTCTGGTGTATAATATCACAATCAGGTAAATCACTATCTACCAGGTCTCTCAAAAACATGGATGGAGTAATAGGTACCAAGTCTTTCAGGTCATTAGATATATAAGTAAGCGGTCGTGAATTTATCACAGATTCACAATAGCATAGTATAGTCATTAAATCCTCATAATTAAAACTAGAGCGACCAAGAACCTTTTGCAACATTTGCTTCATAATACCGCTCAAACGCTCCCAGAAATTGCCCCACCGAGCCGCGGTAGGTGGGTTAAACTTCCATTTTATCCGTTGGGTAGAGGTTTCTCGGAAAATGGTTTCCCAGTCTAACTGCGATAGAGCATTCTCAGTCCCTACAAAGTTCGTACCGCATTCACTATAAATTACTTTAGGTCGACCACGTCTCGCCACGAATCGTCTAAAAGCTTTCATAAAACAAGGTGACGACATAGATGTGCACAACTCAAAGTGTACAGCGCTGTAAACAGCACATGTAAACATACACACCCATGCCTTTTCTCCTGTTTGAAGGTATAATGGTCCTGCCATGTCCACTTCCGTCATTTCAAATGCGACCTCGTCACGTACCCTGTCCTTAGGTAGTGGGGGAGGTTCAACAACAAAGTGTTTAGAATTATACCTCTTGCAAACCACACACTGAGATAAAGTTGATTTGATGGTGCGTCGCCCTCCTAGAATCCAGTAAGATTCACGCAGCAAACTAAGAAGTATCCGGGGACCAGCATGCGACTTTTCCTTGTGCATTTCTAATATCAGCTTCTCCACAACAGGATGTTTAGAAGGAAGTATCATGGGAAATCTAAAATTTTCTAGGTCTTCCCTTCTCGAAATTCTTGTTTTCAGTCTCAAAATACCATGTTTGTCACAAAATGGATTTAAACCGCTTAACCTCTTCTCATCTTCACCTGAGAAACTCTGAGCCTGTATCATCTTAATAACATAAGTTTCGCCCTTATCCATTTCATCCGTAGTTAATTCACCTCTGCGCCTTTCTTCGGGATGTTTGAGGTTATAACAAAACCTATATATCCAGGCTACCATTCTTATAGTCCTGGTATAGCCAGAGAAATAATCAAGATGCCATTCATCAGCCGCTGAACACAAAAGGGTGGTTAGTTTCCTCTTTTTCTCCAGATTAATCTCCAGCTCGTCGCAAGCCAATTCGTCAGTTGGCCAACTATCCTGACTTTCATATAACCATTCTGGGCCCTCCCACCATTTTGACTCCAATAAGTATTTAGGCGAGCAGCCTCGTGAAGGTAAATCGGCGGGTTTTTTTGAACCAGGTATGTGTCTCCATAATTTTGGATGAGTTAGCGCCCGAATTTCTGCTACTCTGTTCCAAACCCCACACAATGTAGCCCACTCTTCTTTCCTTTGAATCCATGCCACAACAGTTGAAGAGTCGCTCCAAAAATAGGATTCGATTTCGCCACTGAAATTCTTTACAGTTTTGATATATAATCTGGCACCGATTGTTGCAGCCAGTAGCTCCAGACGAGGTATGGTTAATTTATGAAACGGAGCAACTCTAGCCTTTGCCGCCAATAAGTGGATAGACACATGACCTCCGGTTATAATTCTGAGGAAAATAGCACATGCAAAAGCACTTTTACTTGCATCGCAAAAAATGGGGATGCTGACATGTCGCACCTGATCAGTTCCCCCTCCGATTCAACGTGGGATCTCTATCTTGAAAAGATATGGTAGGTCTCTAATCCACTGTCGAAATGTTTGCTCCGTCTCAACATCAACTGAATCGTCCCAGCGCAAATTCTTCCCCCAAAGACATTGCAACCAAAACTTGGGCATTAGAGTAGCAGGACTCGTAAACCCAATGGGGTCAAACAATTGTTGTGCCATTGAAAGAATTAACCGTTTCGTTACAACTATGCCTTCCAAATTCAAATCTCCTGTTAACAAAGTATCATTGACCATTAAAGTGTCTCTTGTTAAACACCATTTCAGACCGAGTACAGGAGCAAACGCTTCTTTCTTGTGTTCTTTTCGAGAGTGCTTCCACCCTCTGAATTCAAATTTACCCTGTTTCATTATCATTGTTCCTTCTTGAATGAACTGCCTCAAACTGGTCTCATCCGGAACACGGGTGATGCAATTATCTACATAAAAACTTTTCGACAATTTAACGACATAGTCTACTGTATAGGGAGTATCAGTTTTCGTACACATTTCCAGACAACGGTCAAGATGATATTCAATAGTTTTTCCCAACAAAAATGGACTACAGTTAACTCCAAACACAACTCGTCTGTGTCGATAAGTCTTTTCTTTTCCGTCTGGCCCTATCCATAAAAATCTGAGAAAATCTCTATCGCTGGGATGGATACCGATTTGAAAAAGGCTTTCTTGATATCTGAAGTGACACCTATTTGATTTTCTCTGAATCTCAATAGTATCGAAGGAATTTCTTCAATTAAATTTGGGCCCTTCTCTAGACAATCATTGATCGAAGGTGTTCCCTTTTCATGAGCAGACGCATCAAAAACAGGACGTATCTTGGTAGTACTCTTAGGTTTTACCACAGCCCTATGAGGCAAATAATGAACTGGTAAAACTCCTACATAATCTGCAAGCTCCTCTATGATACCCATCGAGAGCCATTCTTGTAGAACCTGATTATACTCTTCCGTCATGTTTTCGTTCTCTAGTTTTCTAATAGTGGACTGTAATCTCCTTTTTGCGAGGTTATAATTATCAGGGAGTGGAGGGTGTCCGGCGATCCACGGCAGCCTCACTTCATACCTCCCCTGATTTATCTTCACAGTACGCAAAAAGAAATCCTTAGCATCATCGGCTAGCTTCTCCTTGGTTTTCCTTTCTGAAGGTTCGGTAATACCCAAAAGATCAAGCCGCCATAATTCGGTGATGGATGCTTCTTTTATCAGCAGGGACAAGGTTGTTAATGCCAGGTTGAAATCTTCGATGTTCTCCTCAGTAGAAATTTTACCCATAAGAGTGCACCCCAGACATGTCTTGGTAGCAACTAGTCCACATTTCAATTCTCTATAGTCACCACCATAGATTTTACCAGCCACATCTGCTCCAAGTAACAGTTCAATTGGTCCAGGTTCATTTACATCAGAAAGTTCAATATTCAAACTGCGAACTTCTTCCATCCAAGTACCATCGAAAACTGGTAAAATATCGGTACAAATAGCAGGCTGGTCAAGAAAAAATAGCTATCCTTGCAAACAGTAACATCATAGCAATTATGAATTTGTGTCATGGTTTTTCCGCCAAATAAACAATGGACAATACTTTATGTTCGTTTAGGTCTATATCCTAACTTCATGGCTGTAGATCTTAGAATATAGGACCTCTGGGACCCACTGTCGATTAAAGCGCGCGAAACGCAAGACCTTTCTTTGACGCCTTTCAACTTTACCCTTAGAGTCTGTAAAAACACGTGATCTCTCGTACAATTGGTAAGAGTCTGTTCCGTAACAGGATTTACATTGTCCTCAACGGTTTTATTCGAAGGTAATTGTGGACACATAATTGGTACATGTGATCGCGAACAAATCACGCAGCATAGGCGCACGCGACACTTTTTTGCCATGTGACCTGACATAAGACGCCGAAAACACGCTCATTTGTCTGTTAACTGTTTTTTCCGATCTTCTAAACTGATTTTACACGCTTTCACGCAGTCCTCACTCTTATGCAGATTATTACAAAAAACACATTTATTCGCGTCGCAGTTTACTAAATCTGTTGCCGAAGGTAACGCTACCCCAACTGTACCCATTTTTCTCTCGACCCTAGACTTGGCACCGCCATGACCCGGTGAATGTCCTGCAGCTAACCCAAAATTTTCTGTGACCAATGTAATTCTTTGTTCATTTTCGACTTCATTTTTTAAAAATTGCATTAGGCTTACAAGTCGATTCTCTAAAGAAACTTCAACAAGAGACAACTGCCGTGGCAAATTCGTCGTGCTGCCAACCAGTTGAACAGCTTGTGCAGTACGTTGCCAAACACGTAATAACTCTTGTGGCAAGCAAGACTCAATAAGGGGAAAAAGTAATGCGGAACATTTTTCTGAAGTATTGCCTAATGTTTTGAGTGACCTGATTTGTGTTTCGATCAGAGATATGGAGTAGGGAGAATGAGCATCAAGATACGCGAACTTGCTAATAAAGGATATATTAAATACTATATTACCCAAGGAAAACGGCTAGAGTTGTATCATTACTGCATAGGATATTATTACCTATCATATATGTGTAAATCTGCACACACTCCGGCATTGTGCTTATCTTTTATATTGAATTGAATGATACTTTAATTATGTTATTATAACTGTCTTGTTTCATAGAAGGTTCAACAGAGAATATTAATCACACCAATCATAATATATTTTTGAGATGACTTTAACAGATTGCGGTAGGTACTCAATTTATATGAAATAAAAAAAAAACATTTGCGATGTAGTTCTAAATATTTTGTATATTAAAATAAAACACTGTATAATTAACGTATTTATTTACTGATGGTTGAAAATAATTAATTTATTTAAATTTTGTCTTAATGCAGGGCCTTGAATAATCCGTAATAATCCGTCCTTAATTTCTTTTCTTAAAGATTGAATTGTTTTTTTAGCACTAAAAATTTCTTTGGTAAGTTTCCTGTCTACGTTTCAATATAACATTTTTCGTTGCAACTATAGAAGATGTACTGCAAAGATATTTTCATTATTAAAGTTATCCATTAAACTGTAGCCAAATTTTTTGTCAATAATCTTACCTATACGAATGTATGTTTTTATTTTTAAATTACAAATCTTTATTACCTTAAATCCAGTTGTCTCTTCTTTTTACATTGAACCTTCTCGAACTTCAGTAACATTATAGGTCAAAGATGATCCACTTGATTGTAACATCGATTTGCTGATCAAAGCTCCTGCATTAATTGAACTCGATAAAGTACTCTCGCTCAAAATGGAAGAAGATACACCACAAAATAATTTTATGGAACGTACAGAGTTGGGTCATACTGTTCTTCCACAAAAGGGGACAAAATCATCTGCTTTAAAGTGTTCAAAGCAAATTACGTTATTTTTTGTCCATACCCAATTTTCTTTTTCGATAGAAAGAACCTTCAGCCACTTCTTCTGTAAAGTTTCATTTCAAGGAAAGCTAGAAATAAAAAAATTACATGTTTACAATAAAAATTTAGAATAAAAAGTGGAAATATCTTATTTTTGTGTACAGCTACCTAAGTATTTAGAAATGTTCTGTACTTACACATGAAAAGTGATGTTTTGTATTGGAAATCTTCTGCAATTTGCGCTTCCTTTCACAGCACAAAGCACAAGACATATTTAAAGTTCAATAAAAACGAAATTGATAAACAAAAATATGAATAACCTCAAAAAACATTTGTGAACCTAATGTCAACAACAACTGCGTGACGTAAAAGCCTTCAAAATGACTGCGCCCGTAGCGTCTCTAGAAATGTAGATGCGCACTCGTCGAAGCTCATTCTCCCCTACGCCATATCTCTGACACAAATCCATATTATCTTTCGAAACTGCATTATTTAAAATTAAGGTGAGAAGTTCCCTTACATAAAACTCAATTTGAAGATCTTCTCTTCCGAATCGTGATTGCATGCATTCTATGATTTTACTGTAATTTGCTCCAATCACAGGAAAACTTTCGACAAGCTGTCTAGCTCTAGAATTTGGCACGGTTGCTTGTAACAAATATTCAATTTTGTCATGATTGTCAATTTCTGGGTCCTCGTGTACTTTTTAAATTGTGCCAAAAAGACAGCCAGTCTCTGATGTTGCTGTCATAGCGCTTAAATTCTATTTCAGGAAGTTTGAATTTTCGCTTTCCTAAATTTCCATTATCCGTTACGGGCCCTGACATTATCGAGACGTGATCATGATCACCTTCTGCCTTGCTTCCCTGACATTTTTCCAATGTCATTCTTAAATCAGCAAATCGCCTTTTATATGTGTCACAATCTCCTACCTACCTCATTCAGCAGTTCCTCTTCGGTAGCATCGTCTAACAGTAATTCATACAAATGGGCATCCAGCTCCTTCAAATCGTCGCATTTCTCGCGCAAAATCTCCCATGTAACTTGAGCCTTTTGTAAATCTACAGTCTGCGCCGATAAAAGTTGTTCCAGTTCATTTCCCAAACGTGTGAAAGCACCGCGAACTACAGCTCTACTCTTCTTTTTCCTGTCCAATTCTGCCATGATTAACTGTAGGAATATCAACGTTTTCAATATACGAAATCCAAAGGGATAAACGTTGTATCGAGCTAAGTCTTTTGCGGTCGTACCTATTTCTTACGAATACCTCCTCCTTTTTTATTAACATCACTTATCACAGAGTCCTGTCACGGTCGCCATAAACTATGTCTAGACACCAAACAACTACCCGTCGTTAACTGCCTTCGACGGTCTCCTTTTCTATTTGCATAAAGAGGTAACACGGTGATAAGAACAATACTTTATTTCCATTGACGTTTTCTTTACTTTGACATGACATGATACATTTTTACATACCTACTCGGTTTTTTCTTCTTTTTTTAATAAAAACTACTAACGTAACCTAATCTAAATTTCTAACATGTAATTTTTAATATTAAATAAGGATGATGTAATGCTGTTTATAGTTCATTAACATCTCTTACTGTCTTATAATTTACACTGCTTCCATTTTAGAATCACTTCAACAATGTAAAGTACAAGCATATGCTGATGATACTCAATTATATTATCATTTTGATATTAATGATCTGGATCAAGCATGCAATATTGTCAGCTCTGAGTTACAAACTGTAAGGCAATTATCTGATGAACATAATTTAAAATTAAATTCTAGCAAATCAAAAATCATTTTTTTTGGTACTAAGAAAAAAGTGCAAAAGTAGATATGCTATGGGCGTATCACGCCAAAATCCCATGTATTTTCTTATGAAGGTTCATATTAGCAGTTTTTGACTAATTTTACCCCCACTCTTCCACCTTTTCCCTTCCCCCTCCCCTTCTCCGCCAGCCAATCAGAGCGCAGCATTTTTGGCGGAGAAAAAATGGCGGGAAATTCAAAATGTTGTCACATAGGGCTTTGCCCCCACCTAGGGCTTCGCCCCCTCGGGGCCCCATGCAGGTATTTCCCCGTAGGTATGCAGAATCCCCCACGTAGGCGC